GGGGGGGGGGGGGGGGGTTGAGCGCTTTGATGTGGCCGGAGAGTTGTGTGGTCTGTCAGGCTTAGTGTCGCCAGGCCACACCGGGCTTCAGGGAGCAGGGTTCAGTTTGGGCTGTCATGTAGAGGACAAGCAAATAGGAATATGTAGGGCTTTGGGGTATATTCTACTATAGCTTTCATAAAGAACCCTGAGGAATCATATTGGAGGTTATTCCGGCTTCGTTAGACCGGAGTTGTGGTTGGACAAGTTGACCAAGACCCAGTCGGGAGCCAGCGGTCTAAGCTTGTGCACAAGGACTTGCGGGCTTGCAGCTTAGGGTTTAGGGTTAGGTTTGGGGTTTAGGCTAAGGATGGTCAGGTGCAAAGCTGTGCAGTGCTGGGGTTATGCGGGAATGGTCGGCCTGAGGGTGAAAACATGACAATGGTGAGGTCTTGATCCGAAAATGCGGGCATGGCAGAAGGCGGCCACGTAGAGGTGGAATACATGGGTAAGTGTCTAGCCCAGCCGAGCGTCTAGGTAAAGAGAGAACTCGGTACCCAGGCAAACAGACAGTCAGCTTGACCGACTTGTACAAAGAAACCTTCAGCCCTAAACACTACCCATAGGCTCCATAGTAGTTCCTTTTTTGGGATTACCTTATAGGATCCTAAATATAAACCACAAAAAGTAACTATTATGGAGCCTATAGGTAAACCCTAGTTAAACATGACCTTGTAGAAACATGGACAGGTGCCTTGTCAGCTAGCACCGGCCTTCTGACGATGGGGCTCATGGTTTAGGGTTCAAGGGTTTAGGGTTAATGGTTAGGGGAATGTTTAAGGCTTCGGGTTTAAGGTTAAAGGTTTGAGGGTCCATCTGCTGTTCCGATGCCGGGCACGGGCCTATGGAAGCCCTCCGGAACCGCCCTTGCTGACTTCTGCTCTGCCATGTAAGTAAAAGCCGTTTGGATCATCTTGGAATCTGGGATACGGTCATCAGCAGCCACTGTCCAACACCCACACACCTAAAATCTAAAGCTCTTCAGAAATATTATAGCCGCCTCCTCCGCGAAGTCTTCTCTCGCCTGACCACTGAAGGGCGCTGACCAACAAAAGCTGTGGTGAGGGATTGAGGGCTCACATCTTAGATTTCCTTGGGAACAACTTGAGGTATAAAGCGACAAATAAAACGTGTGAATTGCGATGTCTGAGCCCTATGTCAGATCTGCACATGAACTGTTAGAACGATCAGGGTTTCGAACCTTTGCGGATGCATGGCTGGTTTCGGAAACTGTCAACTATATTCCACCGCACCGACCGATGTACCCTAAACATTCAAGGCCGAAACCTCCCATGCAAACACGTAGACATCCGGCGAAGACCCACCAAACTGCCTTTTGCCATGCAGTTCGAAACACGGCCACTGCTGATTGCTGCCTTTCATCTACATTCGGACATTGGCTCGCGACAAGCATTGCCTCATCGACCACCGCCAGGGCAACGTTCAGCAGGAAGAATGATGTTATCTGGCAGGGCGCGGGCAGGCAACACATGGCACAGCGTCAGCATTCTGCCTGCAGACCCACGCAACTCCATGTTTGCAAACCGCCGCTGAAGGATCTAAACCTAAACCGTACCTGAAACTACCATAGCCTGTTTTCTGTAAATTCTTATTATCAATCCCAGCTTCAGAATTTATAGGGGCCCTACAGCAAGAGTAGCTAAGGTAAGGTTTGAACTTTCGGAGTCTCCCAGGGCTCCAGAATGCAAGGCTGCAGGGTCTTGTTGCATGCAGGACACAAGGGTAAAAAGCACGAAAGTCTAGGTAGCATGAAGCAAGATGCTAAACCCTGCCGTAGGTCCCCTAAACCCTAAACACGAAGCCGCCGGCACCCGGACCTCAAATCCCAAATCCTGTCCTGATCCCCCGAGGAGGTGAGATATCGAGTTCTCGGGCGTGGGAAACAGGCTCCCTAAACACTAAACCTTGCGGATCCCGGGACTGGAAATCTGGAGTGCTGGGGTGTCGAGCAAGTCGAGCTGTGCATGGTTTTGGGGCCTGGTGTCGGTATGCGTTTTTTAGGTTTTAGGGTTTAGAGTTTTTTGAGGGAGGGTTTTAGGGGCTCCTTATTTAATTATGAAAAATAATATAGTATACCCCCAAACCCTATTTTAACTCTTCAGGTCCCTATATGATTTTTTTGAAGATGGTGTAAGGTGATGAGGTATCTGTGTTTAGGGTTATAAGGCCACTGTGCCTGAAAGTTGGGCTTGGTTGTTTACTTTTTGAGTGAACAGAATCAGGGGGTGTCAGGACCAGCGGTCAAACAGTACGAGTTGTCTCCGAATTAAGGCTGCAGGGAAGCAGACCTCTAGTCAGAGCCCCACTTCCTGTTGCGTTTATGATGCCAAGCGCCCGCACCGGGATAAGCAGAAAGAAATACACCGTGGCGACCACCATACCATGGCCGTCCTATTGGCAGGCTGGTTGAAGAAAGCTCTTCAGACTCCCAAAGCCTTTCATTGAGGAGTATCTTTTGAGTCACATTAAATTGGATCCATCCAGCATTCAAGGTATATTGCTCAAGTAATGTGGGTTTACGGGCCCAGCACAACAAAGCAGGGGAATTCCAAGTTCAGGGTTCAGCTTCGTAGTCTCAGACCCTCAGCAGGAATACGCACTCCAGAGCTAAGGGGGCTGCTGATCACAGCAGCCGAAAGACCCAAACCAACGAACGTCCGGTCATTGATTGCATGGCAACCCTAAACCCTCAACCCTTAACCCTAAACCCTAAACCCTAAACCCTTAACCCTAAACCCTAAACCCTAAACCCTTAAACCTAAACCCTAAACCCTAAACCGTATGTTCATGTGCCTGTCAACCTGGGACCTGCAGGGCAAGTGGAGCCGGCATGCTGCCTTGCACCCACAGACTATCCCACCAAACCCCTAAAGGGAACCTAAATTAAAGGAACCTACAGGTGGGGAGTTTAGGGTATATAGGGTTTAGGGTTTAGGGTTTTAGGGTTTAGGGTTTAGGGTTTAGGGTTTAGGGTACTACAGGTGGGGAGTTTAGGGTATATAGGGCTTTTATAAGGCTTCCATAAGGTATATAGACCTTCTATAAGATTCCTATAACGGTAACTACCCACCTGAAAATGTCCTAGAATAAAACCAAAAAGGGATCAGCCACTAAAGGCCGTTTGCATAGCATTGAGGGATGGTGGCGAGGGCAGGGCTTTTGGGGATGCGCCATGGACCTCGGAATACTCGCCGCTAGCCCTTGTAAGCACCAGGACGCAACACATATGCTTTAACAAAGCCTGCACGGTTCTTCATAGACGGAACTTAGGGGTATAATTGAGTAGTAGGAGGGCACAGGAACCCTTGACCCGTAAACCCTAAACGCTGGACTGGACGGGACATCCTGCCAAGCCCTGAACCCACAAACCCCGAGCCTAGTTGGAGGTTCATGGGAATTAATAAGTACAGTTATAAGTACCTTGACTAGGTTATAAGAAATTGTAAGTATAGTTACCTTATTTATAACCCTATAGTTACTAAGTCCCATGAACCCCGACGCTACGGCCCTCAAGCCCTAAAACCTTGAGCCCTGAATCCTAAAAGTGTACAGGAAGCTGCCAAGTCCTGAATGCGATACATGACCTCGGCTCCGGCGCATTGCGACTTTGAGGGTTCAGGGTTTGGGCTTTACTGCTTTGGGATGTCGGGTTTAGGATACGGGCTGTAGGAATTTTTAGGGTGCATGATTCAGCCGTGAAGGGTTGTGCAGCGAATCAGTGCCTAGGACACACGAAGCGTGCTTGGCTGAATTAGACTTGGACTTCTTTGCCCTCTGCATACATAGCATATCCTACCCGGACTCCAAGTAAGCAGACAGATTTCCATGTGCCTCAGAATCTAGATCCCACTCCATGAAGCCCGAGCTTGCAACCTCACACCCTATAAAAGCCTGTGCTTACAGGCTCAAGGTCATTGTAGCAGCACTGAAACGAATTAAAATGTAATTCTTTATGATCTTCGTATTATGACCTACGTAGCTAACTAAGGGACTTACGCTTGGGTTATATTTGCGTTCACAGATGTAGCTGGTATACGAGCAAGCCGAACCTCCGTGAATGCAAGGCAATCTCAAGCCCGCAAAAAGCAACGAGCTCCATGGATTTTCCGAAACCCCCAAACCCTAAAACACTAGGCCCTAAAACCCTAAACCCCCTAAAACCCAAAGCCCTTGAACCCGACACTCCCTAAAACCCCAAGCCCTTAACCCCTAAATCCCTGAACCCTAAACCCTAAACCCCTAAGCTTTCACAGGGCCTTGAAGCTGCAGGATCTGTACCATAAGCTGAACTCTGCGCCCTTAGCTTTAAACCTCGGACCCTACCTAAACCCTGCAAACCACATGCGGGCTTCGGCAAATGGGGGCCCTAATAGTATAGCACCCTAAATAGTAGGATCCTTGATATTATAAGGACCCCAAAATAAGGTACCCGGTATTTTCGGAAACTCCGACGTAATGTAGGAGCCTTAATATTATGAATAGTCGTTTTGGGGAATAACCTACTATAATTAGAAAAGGGAACCCCCCAAAATAGCGTAGGTAATAATTATCAAAGCCCCTATATCACGTAAGCCTAATTACGGCAAATCCCAGAAAGTTGGAACATGGTTTAAGGGTTAGTGCTGGGATCCCTTATACTTTATATAATGTAAGGGCCTTAATAATTAGAATAGGGTTTTGGGGGGGTTCCTTACTAAAGTCATAGTATAACACACCCCAAACCCTATGCTAATTATTAAGGCCCCTACACCCTAAACCCTTATAGTAGCCCTCATAGAACCCTCTAAGGAACCCTTTAACGGAGCCCCAAAACCCTATTCTAATTGTTAAGGCCCCTGCTTTAAAAGGCGTAAAGGTTGCCAGGCTCCGCACGTCGGTCCAGCCCTCGAGCGTCATGCACTGAAAAATGGTGATCAAAGCGGAACCTGTTCAGGGCTTCAGGAGCCCAGGGGTCTTGGGGTTTTGGGTCAGGGGTTTAGGGGTTTGGGGGTTTTGGGGTTCAGGGTTTAACGGCTTGGGGGTTTACGCGTTTTAGGGTCTGGGGATTTGGAGATTTTGGGGTTTTAGGGTTCAGGGTTAAAAGGGGCTCAGGGTGTAGAGGTTCGACAAAGTCTAAAGACGGCAAGTTCGGAGAAGTACGCCGGCTCAAGGCCGTGCGCCCAGAATGCATGGACACATGAAACAACGCCGAACCTGCAGGGCAAAGTGAGATTAGAATAGGGTTTTTGGGTTTTGGGGTTTAGGGTTTTTCTGGTTGGTTTATGTATCGAAAAACGGGGGAACATCACTCAAAGCTATGCCGGGCGATTGGAGCCCAAGTGTTGAAGCCCGTGCATGGCTTACGGAGATCAGGAAAAGCTTGCAAGCATGCATCTGTCCGATCTATCAGAATCCGAACGGAACTACAATTCCTACGGGCACTATGTATCCAAACGGGCCTACATTGCTAAGCCTCAATAAACCTGATTCCTAAACCCCAAGACTTGACATCCCAGAAGGAAGTTTACATCTGAAAAACGTTAATCCTTCGACCGAGCATCGGCCCGATTACTAAACCCTGCAAAGCCCTATCCAACCCCACGGAAGCCCTAAAAAGCCTCAAACCCTAAAGAACCCCATCAAGCCCTGTTTCAAACCTTACAAAACTCCCAACCCCCCCCCCCC